TTTGGGGGTCACAGCTCGATATATGTCAGACCCTTCTGTCACTGAGGAGCACCTGAGCTACAAAAGGAAGAGTGGGGAGCCACCATGGGGGTCCTCAATCTGGTTGAGAGGGAGACACACAAGGTGTATAAAGTTTGGGTGGGTGTCCTAAAAGATGAGTTCCGGGGGGGTTGGTGTATGTGTATTTTGGATTCATCAAATGGGGATCCCCAAGGGTGGTTTTTTGGCAGTCCCTTTAATCTGTTTGGAGGTGTTCAGGGTGCAGGATTTGGAGGTCTTTGGGTAGCACAGATTTGGTTTCTCATGGATCAGAAATTGGGGTTCTCTACAGGTGTAGTTTTGGAGTCCCACTGCAAGGTTTGATGTCTCTTTGGGACCATTGGAGTGAATATTAGCATTTGTGGTAGATTTTGGGTTCCATAAATCTCAGTTCTTATTGGGAGGTGCACTTAATAGGGTAACCATATGAACTGAGGGTCCGTTAGGGTCCACATCGGCAGGTATTAAGGTTCTGGTATGGGATCTGAGGGGGCATGTTGGGATGGAGGGTCCCTCGACCCAGACACTGACCTGGAACTGCATGGCCTCAGGCATTTGGGAGTGGGCATCTGCATCCAAATGGAGAGTGGAGCTGGGTGGGAGTTACTGGGATGTCCTGAGGTAGGTGGAGTGGGGATGAATAGGAGATGGAACTGACAGCAGGGGAGAGCAATGGGGGTTTATAGAGGTTAGAAGAGGAGGAGGAGGAGAGTTGAGGGTGTGTATACGGGAGCAAAGCACAGGTAGAAAACATATGGAATCCGAATCAGAGATGAAATCTATTTAACCTTTTCCCCAGCAGGGCTCCCATCTCTCCGTATCCAGAGGTTACGGGCATTGAGGACAAAGAAGACGCCAAGGCAGAAGATGAGGGCAGCAGCACAGACCCTCAGCACTGCCACCAACAGGTTCCCATGGGACTCTGCCATTGGAGGTGTGGGTGTCACCTCCAGTGCCACGCTGTCCCCAAGGGGAGAGGACAGAAAGGGGAAGCCCTTGGGGTGGTAGGAGCACCTATAGGTGCCGTTGTCAGCTGGAGTCACCCCAACGAGGGTGAAGGTGGCCGTGCCCCCACCATCAGGGTCCTGCTGCTGGATAGGGACTGAGTGCCCGTCCTTGTGCAGGAAGGTGGCCCCTTGGTACATGTTGCTGCATCGGATGGTGATGTTGGTCCCCATGCCCACACGTTCCTTGGGGCTCATGGAAATGCCAGGTGGCGGGAAGCAGTGATCTGCACGATGGGAGAGAAAATGGATAGGACTTGGGCCTGTGAGGACAGCTCACGGCCTCCCATGGACCCCAGTGCCCTCACCTGTCAGCACCAGCTCCACGGGGTCACTCCTCTCTGATGTCTCTGCTGGCTCAGACACCCGGTACAGGCACTGGTATGTCCCTGTGTGCACCCACTTTGTGA